ACGAACTGTACATTCACCTCCGTGAAACTCCACATATGAGAAGTGAATGGTGCCCGCAGTCGCAGTAGCTTGCCACATTCTCTGCTCAAAAGTGCCTGGAAGGATGCTATAGGTAGAGATACCCGGGCTTCGCTTTCGCCAAGATGCAGCACCTGGGTCGATACCAAAATACCGCGGTCAAACGCAGCCATATCTAGAGAACAACCAGAAGTGAGAGGGCGCAGGCGCAGAGTGCGTTTGACTATGGTTGGGTGCCGTCTTTCAACTGCGCCCGCATAGCCGGTTGTGGCCGGCTATGCGGCTGCCAGGCGCAGTTGCAAGGCGGCACCTAAGTAACACTGTCCTTCGGCCCTTTCCTGTACCTTTTTGAGCAGAGAATGTGGCAAGCTACTGCGACTGCGGGCACCATTCACTTCTCATAATGGAGTTTCACGGAGGTGAATGTATAGTTCGTTTTCAAAAGGAGCTTGGGAGGAACGATACGATTCTCCAACACTCAAGCCTATGTAGAGGAGTGAACTTGCCGCTCAGTGAAGTATCTTTTTCGAGCTTTAGATGCGACATTTGCTAAGAAAATGTCGAGAATGTCGAGAGAAATATGTCTATTGCACTGCGTCTCTACTACATTTCAAATGAAGTCCTATTAAAAGGCAGCTTTTTAGGGTTTGTCGTGGGGCAGCTCGGATTCCTGGTTACTGTTGTACAGCTTTTAATGGCTTATGGAATTGTTATGTTGACTGTGCTATCTCTTTGCGCGATATCATCGAATGGAGCTGTGGAAAGCGGAGGAGTTTACTGTTTGTTGAATTTCCAAAATTTATTCAGACCTGCTAATGGCCAAGAATGAATAACGTTGTTCTTCAGTGCTACTATCTTCTCCTTTCAGACATGATCAGTAGATCACTGGGACCAGAATTCGGTGGTGCTATCGGTGTTTTGTTTTTCGTTGCTAATGTCTTCTCATGTGCTCTATATGTATCGGGATTCACTGAGGCACTGCTGAACAACCTTGGTGGAGGCCGTGAGTATTTCAATTAATTCTCGCTCCAGAAATTTTGATGACTCCTTTTGGTAACTCGAAATTAAATCTGCTTTTCTGTCGGATATTTCGTCTGCGTTTTTAGAATTTCCTGACTCGCCCATGTGGCGATTTTTATACTGTGTGCTGGTTTCTCTCGTTCTCCTTATTCTTGCTTTGCTTGGCGCTGGTATGTTCGCGAAAACGGCATTGTTCACCTTTATTTTGATCTCGGTAGGCATACAAACCTTTGGAACTTTTCTCTTCTACTGTATTTCTTTGGTTATTTATTTTGATTTGTCTTAAAGATTTGCTATTCTACGTGGCTCTTTTCTGTGATATTTGATGGACCCATGCAAGTGCCTATACCCAAAGTAAATACTCCTGCTTATCGTGTCCACGAGAACGCTTCTGATCCCGAAAGTCCTATGATAGTGCAGTTGAATCAGACCTTAACCGCGAACTACACTGGATTTAGGTATGTAAAGAGACTTTTCATCAATCTTTCTTTAATATTGTTGAAATTTTTCCTCGCAAACTTCATTTTTCTTTTTAGTTTCCGCACACTGGGTGAAAATATGTTCACCAATTACACCATGGACTACACGACGGAACGGCAAACTGATTTCGCTTTAATGTTCGCCATTATCTTCTCGGGTGTCACTGGTGAATCACAGTGCTTTTTTGTTTGTCTTTTTCACAGTTTCCCTTTACAAATCTTATTGTGGATGATTTTTTGGGGCCTCAGCAACTTTAATCGTGTTGGGAGCGAGTGTAAACTCAAACTTGAAACCGACGTATTTTGGAATTGCATCTTCAGGTCTAATGGCTGGCGCGAACATGTCTGGTGAACTGGCTCGCCCCTCAGTTTCGATTCCTCGAGGCACTGTGCAAGCAGTCCTGGTCACATTGTTCGTATATATTATGACGGCATTCTTGATGGCAGCCACATCGAGTAGATATCTTCTTCAGAACGATTACACTGTAGGTGGAACACTTAGCTCTCTAATTCAACAGCGTAACTAGCCTTGAAAAATTCAGGTAATGATGGACACAAATTTCCAAAGATGGTTCATTCTCATCGGTGTCTTTTCCACTACTTTGTTCTCCTCAATGAGCAACTTGATAGGTGCGTTTTGAATTTAATGCGTTTAATCAGCTATAGAATGTATGACGGCTTATATATCTGAAGCTGTGAAATACTGACGATTTGTCATTGCTTGATCAGTTTTTCTAATGTGAGCTCTGCTGCGCCTCGATCGCATCAGATAACGTTTTGTCTCAGTAGCACTCGTTCGATCCAAATAAAGGGCTCCTGCAGTGACGCTGTGCAGCTATGGTTGCACATTTTTTGAGCATATCAAAAGTTATAGGAAAATTGCCTACCACTGTTACTACTCCACAAAAATCTTGCTGAAAGTTTGCCTGTAGATGCTTTTCATGACCACGAATTTGACATTCATCCTTAACGCCACAGTCTTTCTCACCGAAATCAGTGAAAACCTAGGTACGGGGTTGTTTGACATCTCGGTCACGAATATAACATTCATTTTCAATGCTGGTGCCACTTTGCTCCAGTGAGCCTTTGGCGCGACCACCCTTTTCATCAAATTCGATGGAAACTTCCATAACAGAGTT